AATGCAAGCAAGAGGATTGTCCCCGACAGCGGGTTAGCCTGCTCAGTTTAGCAAAAATGCACTTAAGAAAGGTGTGAATCCGTCACTTCTACAAGTAGCTATTGGTTACATAGTAGGGTAGATTGTGGTCTCTGGCCTTTGGTAACACTCAATCTACGAGAAGGAAAACTTTGAATTCTAAACCCTTGACAAAACAATTGAATACTAATCCACTATCTTTCCCAATTCACAGATAAAAAATAGGAATCTGTAGAGACATGATTGCCGACGACCTGTAGGGCGATGCCATTAAAAAATATTCCTTCCACCTATGGGTTAAACAGCAGAATAGACTGGGATCTCTAGCATTAGAGTGGCAACCAATCAATGTGATGAAAAACTGTAGGAAAATGCGTTCTAGTATCTTTCCCAAGAAGGTATGGTAATTCACAGATAATACAAGAAAGGAATCTGTGGAGAGTCATGATCGCCTACGACGTGTAGAGACGTGGTTTTAACAAAAAGAATGTAAAGTTTAACTTAGTAGAAAACACAGCAAGCAGAATAAATATAGGAATATTGTGGTGCGTCAATTTTTTAAATGTGAAAGGGCTTGAAATTCAACAGTTAAGTTTCCAGATTTTGACACAGATCTCTGAAAGCAATGTTACTAAACTAAATCACCAGACTTGATTAATAACACGGGGACAACCCCCACACGCCAATAAACACTTGCCGAATAATTGAACTTACATTCCAATGCAGATAATGAATTAAAAATGCTCAGGCTCCGGGTGGTCGTCTCCCAAAAAGCACCTCGCCTCAGAACTTCACGAGCAAGGTGGGGGTAATTCGTTGGTATGTGCACGCTAGCATACCTGTGTTTCGTAAGTGATCTCGAAATTTGCATTATGCTGGAATGTGAAACTATTGTTACTTACCTGGTAAAAAGCATGTGACCATTTCAATATCATTGCCTGTGCAGATGCCTTCCGTCTTGGCCGGCACTGTACAGATTTTGTAACGGTAACGAATCCCTTCTGGTTGGCACGGAGACCACAAAGACCATGGAATCTGATTGGTGGAGTCTGGGACAAAAACAAAAACAAAATCAAAACAGAAAAGAAAAACACCTTCAAGATAATTTGTGATTTTCTGAAATTTATTACTAACTAGCAGCATGGCCCGGCGTTGCCCATGCTTGATTCAAAAATCGTACGACACATACAGCAATCGCTATCACTTGACTTAAAATATTTTTGCCCTTCCTTGCCTTTAAAGGAGTGCCCTTTGCCGTGCTGATGCTGCTACATGCCTTACTTCTTGCCTATCTCACACTGCAAATTTTTTCTAAGCTCTATACTAAACATTAAATCTGTTGCGAAAAAAGAACTAAACAAAATGAACACAAAACGATCAGCTTTAAGAAAGGACTCGTAACTGGAAAAAACGAATGAAAAAAGAATGTTAACAACAAATACTTTTTCACAGCCAACCCAGTTCTGCGGAATCAGAATCAACGTTGAGTTTAAGCAAGCGAATGAGCCAATTGGAGTAAAGTGCCATGCAGATTTAAATTTTTCCCACTTGTGACGAATGCAGCTATCGATTTTTTTGCATGCTAGCATGCTAGTTAACATTCGTGTCAGTCAGCTGTTGGCTCTCACACTGGCCAATAGAATCTTCCTGCCTATTCGTGGCAGTCAGCTATGGGCTCTCACTCTGGCCAGTAGAAAATGTCTGCAAACTACATGAAAACTGCCGTAGAAGCATGAAAAAATCGATTATTTCCACTATCGGTGGGTGTTGGGAAATGCAAAGTCGGTCTTGGCCTTCCCGCTAACTTAGAGCATGAGTATGTAAATTTGGGTGCAAATCCGTCGAAAATTGCGGCTGTGCATTGGTTACACACAGACACACACATCCTGCCTTTTATAAAGAGAGATTTCACTCTACTAGGTTAATTTGCAGTGTAACACACACGCTCAGGTCGCATTAAAAATTTGCAGAATACTTAAATTTATGTGTAATTGTACATGCTCCATTCGAATCTTGCTTCATAAATTTGATAAAATCTACCGTTTTGGAGTTATCGACAGTGAAATTTCAGATTCATTTGCGTCATTGGCGGCAGCTATTACAGGCGTTGTTTGCATACATTCGCTGCAGAAAGCTAAACGCGGAAGACTTCAAAATCTAGGTGCGAAACTAATCTTTCTTGTCAAAATTTGTCTCAATTACTGCGCGCGAGAACTATTTACGTAGACACGCTCAGTTTGCGCAATGATATCTACACTGCAGCGAATATATGCAAACAACGCCAGTAATAGCTGCCCGCGGCGTGAATGAATCCGAAATTTCAATGTTGATAACTCCAAAACAGTAGATTTTATCAAATTTATCAAGCCAGATTCGAATAGAGCATGTACAATTGTACATAAATGTAAGTATATATATATATATAAATATACAGTATGTACCACGATTTGGACAAAATGTTTAATATCTATAAAAAAAACAACTAAACTAACAGAATTTCTTTTTCCAGGTTTTCAGATTAGATAAACCATCTTGACACCATTTGTCGTAAGAATCACTAAAAACCCTTTTGAGTTATTCAGCTAGAAAGAGAACAGGTTAAAATCATTTTGTGTCAGCCCCACTATGTTTTCCTGAATGAGCAATGGTGAGAGGAAAAAGATCATTCAGGCCTACAGTACAACATTCATACCCTGACTTCCATTTTCAAAGTCCATTCAAGAACCATCAAGAGAATGGTTAATAAGTTTTAAAAAAGAGGGAACAGTAGAGAGAAAAACTAAATCAGGAGGTCACAATAGCAAGAAGGATCATCATTTCAACTTAGAGCTAAATACATTCTTAGTGTTCAATGTAGAGTCAAGTAATGTTATAAAAATCTCGGATTAATCATTCTGCGATATAAAACATTTCAAAGGTTAATCTAAAAACTGGACAATTTTGCTGTTACACGATTTGGACAATTTTGTTGTTACAGCCGGTATATCACACCCTCTTGGTCGATACACATTTCAGTGTGACTATTATTTTATATCTGCTTTCGTTCCATCGTATTATTGTTGCGTTTTACCATGGTAGGTCTGGGTTAATATGTTCTTCATGATTACTATTAATTTATTATTAGTTTTATTTTATTATTTGTGTTTCATATTACAGATTCTTCGTCGGTAAAATCATCATCATTTCTAATATTTTATTAGTAACTAGCAGTAGAGCCCGGCGTTGCCCGGGGATGTAACAATAAGAGATAGATCATGTATCGACCATCATAAAGACTGAAAAATAAAATTGACAAAGATTATTGTTTTAGGTTGACGGACACGCATGTCTTAATTAGTTTTTTTTTTTTTTTTGTTTTTTTTTACGAATTGATCAAACTCAAACAAAAACATTGTTTTCAATCGTTATGTGTCTACCGATTGAATAGAATTTTATTATAAACAATTGTCTTGTAAATGGAATTTTTAAAGCAACCTGGGTTTTATAATAAGTATAACTCGATATGAGTTGTCCCCCTTTCATTCTCGTGATGCTTCTTAATCGTGTTTTCAAATTGATTTCGTGCAAAAACAATTGTGTTTTTTCTAATTTTTGGCGCTATCAGAACCACCGCAAGGTAATTTTACGTAGTCCTGTGAAGTTTTGTTGAAATCGGTTGAAAAATGTAGGAAATCCGATCCAATATATAAACGTACACACACACACAGACACACACACACACACAGACACACACACACACACACACACACAACCTGGGTTTTATATTAAGTATGATTTAATGTCATTTATTGTTCAGTATAACCATCTGAATCGATACACTATTATTATTATTATTGTGTGTGGTATCATTTTTGCCAATAAGTAATTTTAAGTGCCTAGTTACCAAATCCTCTCCGGAGTCTTTGAGTAAAAACAACGCTGTAGGAGAGATGTCTATGCACATGTGGGTAGTTTCGTTTAGATGGGGAGGGTTTGGGGGGTGATATGTGCAGTTCTGCACAAAGTAATCTTTTGTAGCTCTGAGATGCTGATGTGTCCAGGAATTTTACTCACATGATTTTCGGTACGATACTTTATCATGCCTAATCCCCCTATCGCAACAGGAATAATCTTATTCGGACTATTGTCCTCATCTTTGTCGCCATATTTATTACAACGTTTCGGCCGTTGTCCGCTCCGGCCATCTTCAGGTGGTTGAAATGTCGAACTGAACCCTTTATTTCGCTCACTGCGATAGCCTGTTGTAGTTCCATGTGCCATGTTTAATGGATGTCAGTTATCAGTTATCTCCTGTTAATTTCCCTCTCCGAGTTCTCCACTGCCTTAACTGCCTCACACTCTTTGGGTCCTGTCACTGGATCTAACCAACGCCAAAGAGTGTGAGTTCAATACCCGGTTAAGGCAGTGAAGAACTTGGAGAGGGGAACTGACAGGAAATAACTGATAACTGACACCCATTAAATATGACACGTGGAACTACAACAGTCTACCCCAGTGAGCGAAATAAAGGGTTCAGGTCGACATTCCAACCACCTGAAGAAGGCCGGAGTGTACAACAGCCGAAACGTTGTAATATGGCGACAAAGATGAGGACAATAGTCCGAATAATGTAAATAGTGTACATAATACCTCATCTCAGAAATATAGACAGATACTGAGGGATAATCTTGGTTTTAAGATTACACAGTTTTGTTTCTTCGATTAGCAGGTCGTTATAATTTGACAGTTTTTGAAATTCTTCTTTAGAAACATTGGAATCCATATCAATTAGTTGGCAGGTTCCTTTCTTTGAATCTTTTATGACTATGTCTGGTCTGTTTACATCAATTTTCTTGTTTAGGAGGATTCGAAAATTTCATAAGATAGTCGCTCTATCACCTTTTGTGACATCATTCATTTGTACCATGTTTCCGGGACTTCAATACCCTTGTTGGAACAGACTTGTCAATGAATATATTGTCCTAGCCTTTCACCTCTAATAAATGTATTCTTTTTTTTCTTCGACAAGGACGGTGCACCCAGATACTATGTGGTCAACAGTTTCATTAAATTTATAACGTAAGTAACAGGCGAGTTTTGAGTTATGCTTTATACCATTCACTCTCCATTTCTCTCCCAATCTTCTACCCTCTCCATCTCACAACCGCACTCTCTCTCTCTCTCTCTCTCTCTCTCTCTCTTAGTTCTATAGCCTCTTCTATTCCTCCCTCTCACAGCTTCTCCCTCCCTTTCTCCTCTCAATCACACTATTCCTTCCTATCACTCTCTTCCTTCTTCTCTCTATCTTCTACCCTCTTCATCTCACAACCGCACCTCCCTCTTTCTGAACCTCCCTCAGCATCATACTCTCTCTCCCACATTTCTACTCTTCCCAATCTCTCAACAGATCTCTCTCTCTCTCTCTCTCTCTCTCTCTCTCTCTCTCTCTCAATTTCCATATCTCCATATCTACACTTTTCTTCCTCCTTCTTTCAACATCTCCCTCCTTTTTTCTTCTGTATCACTCTCTCACTCTCTCTCTCTCTCTCTTCCTCTTTCTCAAACTCTTATTCAATCTCTCTTTCTCTTTTAATCTTCCACCCTCTCCATTTTACAACCGCAGTTTCCTTCCCAATCTCTCAAATTCTCTCTCAGCACCCTTCTCTCTATATATAAGCATCTTCCTCTCTCTCTCCGCATGCCTCTCTCTCTCTCTTCCCTCTTTCTCTCCCTCTTCCCACTTTCCCTTTCTGTGTCCCCCCACCAACTTTCTCTCTCAATGAAGCTCAGTCGGTGGTATTTATCGGGGTGAATAACATAAAACACCAATGACATGTAAATAATTTCGTGCAGAGAACGGAAATTTTCACTTACCCTGACAGGAATGAGTGTTGCAATGCTGGACTTCCATACTATGACCCTCGCAGCTTTCTACGCGAAACGCATGCAATTTACAGTCTCTCTGGCGGAAATGTAGCCCACCACCGCAAGTGGCACCGCATTTCGTCCATTTCGTCCACTGATTCCAGTTGCTGGGTTCCGTATCGAGGGCTAAAATTATGGACAGCGATGGGCGGGGAAGATGAAGAGGAATTAAGGAAGGAGAGGTAAAAAAAAAAAAAAAATAAAGTAGAAAGATACAAGTTCCTATAAGAGAAGTAATAAACATCACAAAACACAACGAATAGTAAATAGTTGCCATAACGTAGAAATGTCTATATTTGGAAATAAAGCCTTGACTGGAAAGTTCTCAGCGAGGCCACCTGGAATACAAGTCAGGTAAAATTAATTCGAGTATCATTTATTTATTTATTTTTATTTTTTTAATCCGGATAAGCATTCAAAAAACACGGACCCTGGCCTTCGAAAAAATAGAATTGTTAAAAGTGTTATTTTTCCCATGAGCCTTTTGTATTCACTTCACTCCTCAGCAATGTTTATTGTTTTAAAAAGCAATGATTAGAATTGTAAACATATGAAAGTAAATTTATAGATTTTCTTTATTCTTGAAAACAATATCAATAAATATTATTTATTTATTAGATTGTTTATTGGAATGGTTGGTAAAACATTGATTGAAGAAAATGTATAAATTTACTTTCATATGTTTAGGTTTTATTTCACTTGTAATCATCGTTTTTTAAAAGAATAAACATTGCCGTGGAGTGAAGGTAGTTAAAATAATAGTGGTGTCACGGGAAAAACAGTCCTTTTGAAATACCGATTTTTTTTTTGTTTTTTTGTTTTTTGTGGTCACGGACGTCCATGTTTGCCAAACTTTTAAGGCCTTTGCTGAACTTACCGCTACTAGTATATTTCTTTGCATAGGGGGTTACCGATATCAATGACATGCCAGGGGCGTAGCGGATGTAGACGCGGAATATGCAATTGGTATGTCGAGTCAGTTGCTTTAGTTTTTGCACAAATACACCTTGGAAAGGCATGAATCCGTCTGTTCTCCCCAAAAGTAGGGGTTAATAGCAGGACACATTAAGATCGCTAGCCTTGGTTGGTGACAAGTCTAAGAGAAGGATACATCTTAATTCAAAACCTGTAGGCCTTGGAGCTAGATACTCCGCCCTGTTAAGAGTCTAATGGCTACAGAAACCACCACAGCAACACCTAAATTTCTGAGGCTATGGTTATATAAAACAAAAATATATAAGGTTGACACATATAAATGTATATTGTAAGTGATCTTTCAATTTCGCGAAAGTTTGAAATTTGTCTCATATTTAATTGCATCAGAGATATTTAGACAATATCTTATGCCCACAGAATGAGGGATAAAATATTTTTCCATACAGGATTATAAATGAAAGAATAAAGAAAAAGTTGGTTCAGAAATATTGGTAAATAATAAAGATGTTGCCGATAGCAACCGGAACAACATTAATAGAAGATGGCTGCTTTTGTCTGACGTATCCTTTTTTTCCATATAGTTTATTATTTTGGTTAAAGTCCGTATTTTTTTATTATCTTTGGTGAAAACTAAGGAAATTCTAACATATGGTGGTGAAATTTTTAATTTTTGAAATAAAAGTTTTCTTTTTTTTTTCTTTTTTTTTAAGCATTACGCCGCGAGCAAGGCGGGAAGCCACTAGGATGCAGGGGGTTTCAGAAGATTTGGAGCGAGAGCAGATAGGAGTGATAGAAGAAAGGATTAGGAGGAGGATAGTGGATAGATCAAGGTAACTGGAGATGTCGATTGACATTACATTTGAATAGTTGGAGATTATAGCTCTCAGGGAAACAGTAATAGCGAAGGGTGTTCCATAGGCGAGAGGTGCGAGGTATGAAGCTATTGGAGTAGAAGAGACGGCTACATTTAAAAGTTTTTACAGTGAAAGGGTGAGAGCGGGATGCCAGCCTCCTAGGGCGCTTGAATTCATGAAGTCTGGGAACCAGTGAATGCAGCTCCTCGGAGAAATTACCATGAAAGTATTTGTAAAAAAAGACAGAGAGAGGCGACGGCGCGTCTGTGAGAGAACAGCTGTAGACGAATTGCCAGATCAGGGCCAATTAGATTACATATCCGTCTCTGGATCTTGTCAAGAACTCCGAGGTAAACAGAAGGTGCCCCAGACCATATATGGCAGCAATACTCCATGCAAGGGCGAATGGTTGTTTTGTATATTTGAAGTATCGACTCCGGGGAGAAAAATTTCCTGGCGCGGCACAGAGAGCCAACTTTCCTCGCGGTGGACGAAGCAATTGACTCAATATATTTGTTCCATCCCAGGTCAGCAGTCAACGTGAGACCGAGCAGACGCAGAGAGTTGCTCTCAAGAAGTTGACTATCAGACATTCTAATGGGGGGGGGGGGCAGAGAAGGATCTCTATGGTGATTAATTTTAATTATAGTTTAGAAATAAGGGAATATCGTCTGTTTATACGACATCATCCTCGCATCAGTTAAAGACGTCTTATTTACCGTTTATTGTGATTATTGTGTTAAAGTTCGTATTTTCTTGATAACAGATGAAACTATGGTAGTTTTCAAACATATTTCATTTACTGTGATTATTTTGTTTAAAGTTCGGATTTTCTTGAAAAAAAAATCAGTTTGACGAAATCAAAAAACATATTCTGATACTTGATGTAGGTTGTACAGGGCGCGATGGGTAAAATTGTCGCCATTTTATATTCTTAATTTCGCGCATGTGCGTTGTCTTTTATTTTTTTTATTTTGTTGACTGCAGAGTGTCGTAGGGTCAGTTGGGCACTGTCTGTGAGAAAAAAAGCACTATGATGCAATTCACTCCGCCAAAAATTTGGAAACGGCGTGCTGTACTTCTTGGTATTCGCGCCGGAAGCTACAATACTAACATTTCAGAATGTGTGTTAATCTGAGGACAGTGCAGAGGATTTGGAAAGAGTTAAATGAGTCTAATGGCGTTTAAAAAGGTACGGCAGCTCGGAAAGTTCACACTGATCGTTCTGATAAGAAAAGAACTACTGAATTTGCTGTTGATGGTCTCAGACTCAACACTGAGGCCTACATCAAGTACCTTGAGGTGACAGTACTGCCCTGGATCAAGACGGTGGTTGCTGGAAGCCCTATGTCTGGCAACAAGACTCTACACCATGCCACGCAAGCAGGAGAACCTAGGCATGAATGTCAGATAATTTTTATTATGTATGTGGCGCAGTTGAGCGAGAGACCAACAAAACTCCTTGTAAGACCAAAGATGAACTGAAGACAAGGATTATGGCAGCATTCACCAACTTAAACAAGGAAACCGTCCAGAACCAGGCGATTCCGAAGTCGTCTGGAGGCCGTGGTTGAAGCCAATGGCGATTTTATTGAATGAATTTACTCTTTAGTATTTCAAGATATTTTGGTGTAATTTTGGTAAATATAGCTGTTAAAATGAGATATTATGAGTGTTATTTTCACTTTTGAGTAATTTAAACGACAATTTATCCATCGCACATTTTATATTTTGAATTTATATTGAATAGATCCATCACCATTTGGTAATTACTTAATTAGCCTAAATCTGATTGTAACGCCCACAAGCTAGTGAAATGTTATACCTATATAGTATATAACATTCTGTGACGGAATTACTTAAGTCGGTCTCTGTGTAAGACAACTTTACACGATATGCGAATTGACTTCGTTTATCATCGGTAATCTCCGTTTAATAGGATTTCACGTCACTTATTTTACTGGTTGCAGTATATGTCGACGATAATACAAAGAAAATACGTTGAAATGACTTTTTTTAATCGTTTATTCTTTCTTAGTATGAATATGCAAAGGCAGTTCAAAAACAAACATTTCCTTGTTATTTCCGACCAATATTTTGTTTTAATCAGTTCACCCCAAGCAAGGCGATAATGCTACTAAGACGCAAGGAGTCACTGAGAGTGAGAGAGAATGAGAAGGCTTTAGGAAAGCAAATCTTAAACAGGAAACAAGAGATAAAACGCTACTCCTGTTCAAGAAGCTGGGAAGGAGTGTGAACCGGACGATAAACGAAACTACCTACTCTTATTACAAAATGATGTAATGAATATGCATACATCTGGTCCCCCCTCACAGTAATATGATTGGCTGGTGTCAGCCATAAATACAGACTGATGTGGAGGTACAAGGAGTACGCCTATTGACTCTGCCTATTGCTTACCACTACGACGAGGACCAGTCCATTACGGTTACCTGCTAGATTGTCCTACTCGGTTACAGTAGTCAACAACCACTTTTCTACTTCGAACAAATATATCCCTTTCTGGGACCTATCACAGAATGAAGGTTGTGTTTTGTTCTTTTATATGAATTAAGAAAATAGTTTGAAAAATTTAAATAAAAGTGGATTCCTAATAACATTTAATAAACTAGAATGCTTTTTATTCACAAGTTCTACAGGGGGTCTCAAAATAATGTATACACTCTTTAAATATTAATAGTTAATAATACATTACCGTAATGTGAGAACTTATATGGATGAAAATATGAAAAACAGATGGATTGGAAGAGGAACAGTTGAATACCCACCTAGATCATCAGATTTGACACCCTTGGATTTCTTTTTGTGGGGGTTTCTAAAAGACAAAGTTTCCAGCAGGAAACCTGAAACAATTGCTGAAATGAGAGTAGCAATTGAAGAAGAATGTGTTCAAATACCAGAGGAAATGCTACTGGACGTTTGTAGGTCTATTTCTTCAAGATATGAAAAGTGTATTGAACAGAACGGCAACCATTTTGAGCACTTGATTTGAATTCATCATTTTATGAACATTCTGCCATTGCCCCAAATAGCTTTTTAGCTTACTTTTTTATCTTAATTTTCTATGTTTTTTGTATATTTTACTCTGAAATTCTTTAAATGTGTATTCTTTCTCTTGTATTAATCTTATTTACAAGTCAAAACACATAAATTGGATAAGTTATAACGATTCAAAGAGTGTATACATTATTTTGGGACACCCTGTGTTTAGGAATAATTTGTGCTTAAGGAGAGTTAAAATAAAATCGAAATTATATTATCTTGAAAAACTCAATATAAATGTTATATAATTCAAATTGATTGGCTGATAAATCCTTCAAATGTTGCTGTTTTTTATTCTTTTTGTTTTCTTGTGTTTAGTGACGTTTAGCGTTC